CCAAATTGCGAAGATTTACGAATGCAGTATCATCTTTCTGGAATTTCCAACTATAAAGGCTATCCATAAACCTGAGAATTTATATCGCATCTAACGCAAATAAGGCTATCTTCTCGACAGACAACTTTACAAATCTAAAACCACCCGTTTCAGTCTAACGTGTAAGACTGAATAAGTCACAGGAGCTTGCCACATATTTCTGGGTACAGAAAAACTCATATAAACCACTATACGAAATATATATAGTATTCATATCATTTCACGCTCTGCACAACAAGAATATTTTATTACAAAAATGTATTTTGTACAAGCAAAAGTAACTGCACTGCACGAAAACTTTGAGGCTAAAAATTCATAATAAAAACGATTAAAGATAAACGCTAATTAAATGATTACACGAATAAATTAAAATACAAAATTTTATTTGCGTGAAATATATAAATAAAATGTATACTTATCTGGTAAACATACATAAAACAGGGGGAAAATAAGTTATTATTTATCAAGTTTCTATGTTTTAGAGCAAAGCCACTTTGGGCTATCTGCTGTGTCCATCACGGAGAATCGAATCCCGGATTTAGTATTATAAAGTCCGTAAACTTAACGCTGTCCCACCGGGGTGCATTATCTTTCAAAATAACATAAATCAGCTCAGTGATCAATTGAACAGACAGAGAGAGAAAACGGAACACATATGAGTTCATCGACAGAATTATTTAAAATGTCTATCAACTCCTAAGCGTAACAAAAGCATGAATGCATACGGACACATAAAAGTATGACAGGATGTACCTGATTTATAATACAAAGCTCATTCACACTAACAATATGTTTGATGTTAGATAAATCCATGTTCGAAACAACAACTATGTACGAATTAAAACAGCGAAAAATTTACTATCAATACAGGCTGATACTCTTTGTTCTTGTTCATTTTCTCTGGGAAACAAAGTGTACAAATCACGTGACCAAGGAAGAATTACAATGCATTTTTCTTCAAAAGAAAAATAAAAGATGCGTGACAGTTTTGTCCCAATTGCTGTAACTAGTCGTATAAAAAAAACATAACTGAAGAAAATCCCATAACTCGTAAAATTTGATTTTTTCGCATTATACTACATTAGCACAGATCTAACAACATGCATCTACAACCAGCGCCATACTTAGTGTTATCATTCAGGCCTTGCAGTATACACGTACTACCAGCGCTATACTTAGCGCTTCACTCAAGCCTAGCAGTATGTATGTACTACTAGGCCTATGTTTAGTATT